GCTAATTTGTACTCCACAAAGGTGAGAAATCATCTTTTACTTTCTGACTGAATTCACTCATCATAATCACCACAGTCAGGTCCTGTTTATGTGGCTGCAAAAGGCAAGGTTTCATCATTTTCATATTGTATTTTTAAAGAATTATTTATTTATGCACACAAGAATTGGGTTACAGGCCAAAGGTGCGGGGGTGAGGGTGAGAAGATTTCACTGGAGACAAAATGGGGAGTAGAACAGGAAGATTGTCTGAAATACACTGCTGAGGGGAGCAACAGGTAAGATAGGAATGGTCTGCTGTGCCATGTGGGTCACCTCCCTGGCTGGGGATCCAAGTCATGCTGTAGTGGCTATAGATAGCTTCATAAAGTGCTGTGTTTTAACACACTGCCTCACTGGGGAGGGTCCCTCATAATTTTTAATCGTTTAGTAGGATTTCATTTGATTTATTTTTTTATGCATAAAGAACTGCAGAACAGGCCAGAGGTACAGAGGCATTGAAGGAACTCACCAGAGACAGAGTGGGGATCAGGACAGGTAGATCAACGAAGTACACTGCTGAGGGGAGCAGTGAACAGGCCAGGAGAGGACTGCCACACCGTGTGGTTCACCTCCGGGGCCAGGTATTGAACTTGCACTGAAGTAGCTGCATCTAGCTTGCAGTGCTGCATCCTTACCCATTGTGTCACCAAGGAGGGCTCTATATCAACTTTACCAAGTATACATGGGCATTTAAGTTGTTTCCAATCTTAGCTTTTGGAAAAATTTTGCTATGAATAGAGAAGTATGGATATCCTTTTGGATTAGTGTTTTTTCCTCTTTTTTGGTTAGATACCTAGGAGTGGTATTGCTGGTTCCTATAGAAGTTCTATTTCCAGTTCTTACAAGGAATCTGCATACCATTTCTCACTTTTCCCATACAACTCTTCCAACAACAATGATATGAGTTCCTTTTTTGCTTCAACCTTCCCAACACATGTTATTTACAGTACTTTTGATATAGAGCATTATTGCAAATGTGTGATGATATCTCCTTGTAGTTTTGATTTGCATTTTCTTTATAATAAAAGAAGTGGAGCATTTTTTTCATGTTCCTTCCTGTTTGTCTTCAATACCTCATCATTTGAGTAAGAGACACTTTCTTCTACTTGTGTTTTATTGGTTTTATTGCTTTTAAATGAATGAGTTCTTTAATATATCTTGGCTATTAACATTTTGTCATATACAATATGGTGTGCTAATATTTTCAGTCAGTAGATAGCCTTTTCATGTTTCTGACAATATTTTTACTGTATAAATACTTCTTAGTTTAATGTGGTTCCAATTATTTATTTCTTATACTCTGTTTCTGGTAAATCCTCTGAACACCTGCATGTCTGGTCTATATCCCAGTTCTTCTAAAAAATAAAAAATAATCAAAAAACTCAGATTTTTCAAGCCTTTTACCTCCTATTTTTGTATCTTTTATAAATTTTTTGAGCTTAAATTTGTCTTCTTTTATGAACTGTCAAAATCATTCTATTTTTGCCTGTGTTCTATTTGAATAGGGCAGAAGGTCTATGGCCCTACCACCCTGAATGTGCCTGATCTCCTCTGAATAGGGCAGAAGAAAGTATACGTCTATCATTATTAATCCATACCCTTATTTAAAATGTAATTTATTTTAGGCCCTCCCTGGTGGCGCAGTGGGTTAAAACACAGCACAAAGAAGCTTAAGCCACTTCTGCATGAGTTCGATTCCCGCCTGCCCCGAGGAGATCCACATAGCACGGCAGACCTCTCCTGACCCGCCCGCTGCTCCCCTCAGCAGTGTAGTTCGTCAATCTGCCTGTTCTGTACCCCACTCTGTCTCTGTTGAATCCTCTCACCCTCCACATCTCTGGCCTGTACCTCAGTTCTGTACGAATAAATAAATCTTTAAAAAAAATGTAATTTATTTTCATGTTTTCATCTATAGTATATTTAAAATAAAATGTTTTTCATTCTGTTTTTCTGAATTAAATAATCTCAGTGTATTAATTCTGCCCTTTTAATCATGTTTTTAAAAATTATCTTACTTTTACAAAGTTTTGCTATACTCAATCAATACTTTGTTTGGTACCCTATTGTTTCTCCAGGAAGAAGAGATTCTAGACACATCTCTTCATTTCTTATATTTACTTAGACTCAGTATCTCGTCTAATCTATTTGTACTTAAATGTTCACATTTGACTTCATTACCTGTACTTTTATTTACTTATGTTTGCTGCTTGTAATTTTTGGACTTCGAATGCATAAAGTGAGTTGTGTACATATGTTTCAGTTATATAATTGTTCTACAGTAAACTTCAGAATTTTTAAATTAGAATTTTTCCTCATAAGGGATTCTTATGGATTATATAATAAACAGGATATGAAATAAAATGTTGAATCAGTTTATATATATACATATATTTTTTTTAATAAGAAATTATACTGTTCTCTCCCTCAGAATCCTCTGAGATGATTTTCTTGACCTGATGACCTCAGTCTGAGAATCCCAGAACTCTAATGCAGCCCATGGCTGCAATATCTAATACAGCTAATTAGTCTCCTCCCAAAATGGCATTGGTGTATGTAGCTTCTTGTCCTCTGGGGGGGTGGAGAGGGCTGGAAGGATGTGGGCAATACTTGTGGACAGAAGAAAACTTAGTGTGTGGAACTTCTCTGCCCCCTGACAATGCTGCCATAAGATCTTTTGCTAGAGTAGGTACTGATGCTAGTGGAAGTGAGGGGGCCTATATTCTCCCATGCAAGAATCTTCTTATGTTTTAAAGTAACAGACAAAAAAAAAAAGATCGCTGGTGTCCAGGAGTAAATATTATAAAGGAAGGGAGAATTGGGTAATTGTTTAGAGAATGGCACATGAAAGAAAATAATAGTAATATAATTATGGTGGTGATGAACGGTAGGCATTTTAACTTTTTGGCCATGTGTAGACCCTACATTAAGTTTCTATTATGTTTTTATATATTATCCTTTAAGCCAGTCTTCCCTTCTGTGGCTTCAAATTCTGGATGAATTCAAAATTTTCTCTTTAACTAGACTCTTTGTGGACTCTTATAGCTTTTTAAGAATAAATTATCCTCTTTTGCTTAATCTTTTATTGGCAAAATAAAAAGGTTTATTTTGCTTCTTCTCTATTCCTATTATCAATCACCTGCCCCCTTTCTCTTGTAGCAATAATATGTGTTTAAATATTTTACTGTAATGAGTAGGTTAACATATGTCTGTGTTAAATGTAAATGTATATTCACTTGAGTAAAGTGGAATCTTTTTCCTGTAGCTTAATTGAGATATAATGGATCTATAACACTGGATAAGTTTAAGGCATACACTGTTTTGGAATGTATATTAACAGTTCCAATTTGGGAAATTGCTTTGTATCCTGAACAAATAGCCATACTTCCTTGCTGTAGTCAAAACAGCATTGGATTTGCTGGTTTTTGCTCTAAGATAAGTCATGTTTTGGGGTTGTATTTATACAGAGAACAGGTAATTACAAAGATGAGAAAAGGAAAATACTTAGTAATACAGCTGATATAGGCACTGTTCAGTTTTCCAGAACTAAAACTCTTATCACTATTACAGATAATTTAAAAATCTGGTTAAAAAAATAAAAAGCCTACGTTTTCAAATACATGTCATGAATCTTAAAAGACAGAAGCTAAGGAAGTTTCCTTCTATGTTGGCTGCTGTTGTAACTATTGCTCCCTTCTGTCCTTTCCTTTCCTTCCTCTAACTTTACTTCAGCAGCCCTCGCCCTCTTCGATTTATGTTCCACCCTCCTTTTTTTTCCCCCAACTTCAATGTTTAGGAGCATGTTTAGTACTATAGAGCAGGGTGGCCTGAGAATCAGATTTTTTTTTTTGCATGGAATAGAAACACATCTTCTGTGTGGTAGCATTGCATCCCTGCAAAAATGGGTAATAACTATAAAGATTCACATAGTTGCCCAGAATTAGGTTGAGGGCACACTCACAATTGGCATTGTCTCCCTGAAACTAGGGAAGGTTGAAGAAGACAGAAGAGATAAAATGGATAGAAGGGCTGAGGAGAGTTGAGGAGACTGGGTAGAGTTAATGGAGTTATATTAAAACTGTGACCTTTTATTTGTTTATCATCAACCAATAACTTAGGTTTCCAAAAAATTAAAATCAAAGTTAAAAAATATCTGAGATTGGGAAGAATCTGAACAGTAAGTAAAAAAAAACAATGCCCTGTTTCCTACTTTGCACATCTTGACCATATATTGGTTTCTAATCATCTGATAAGTTATTACTCATATTTATGTGGACATCAGTGCAAATACCCTGTGCCATTAATATCTATTCCATTCTTGCTTTATCTTATTCTGTTCTTGAACTAATTCTAAGATCTTTACCAGGTTCTCTTCTGCTTACTGTTCCCTGACTTGGTGTGAATTGCAAAGGTGATTGTAGTTAATGATGCAAAAATGACTACAAAAGGCAAATTATGTGCATGAGAAGATGTAAAGTTAAGACATGCAATAACTCAGATGACTGGAGAATTGCTTCACGAACAATTTAAAGACAGAATCAGTGATTTCTGGGGTATACCAACTCCACCTGGCTTTTCTCTTTATGTCAAACAATTACACCCACATACCAACCCTGTGTGCACATACACTATGTTCTCTTCCCTGGTACCCATTTTTCTGGTTAGAAAATTGTGTATGATTCAGAATCTACCATGTTCCCATATATGTTTCATTGTGTTGGTACAGCTGAATAGCCCTAGAGACTGTGGTCACAGGGAAATTGCATGCGGACATGACTCACCTGCCCTAGACAATAATAAATAAATGCCTTCTAGTGATTGTAGGACACTTAGAGGGGATTGTAGGAATATACAGTCTTCATAGTGTGTATACTTTTGAATAATAAAGTAAAAGATTATTAGTATTCTTATTTTAGTTTCTTTTTCATTAGATTTATTTTGGATACATTCCAGCTGATAAATCAATGGATGGAGCAAATCATTCCACAGTGTCAGAATTTGTGTTCCTTGGACTCACCAATATCTGGGAGATTCAACTTTTCCTCTTTGTGTTTACCTCCATGCTTTATATGGCAAGTATGGTGGGAAACTCTCTCATTATGCTCACTGTGATTTATGACCATCACCTACATTCTCCCATGTATGTTCTGTTGGCTAACCTCTCCTTCATTGACCTGGGAATTTCTTCTGTCACTTGTCCCAAATTGATTTATGATATTTTCAGAAAACATAAAGTCATCTCCTTTGGAGGCTGCATTACTCAAATATTCTTCATCCACATCATTGGTGGTGCGGAGATGGTGCTGCTCATCGCCATGGCCTTTGACAGATATGTGGCCATATGTAAGCCCCTGCACTACCTGACTATCATGAGCCCACGCATGTGCATCTTATTTATAGTGGCTGCCTGGATGCTCGGCATTATCCACTCCGTGGCTCAATTAGCATTTGTTGTAAACTTACCTTTCTGTGGACCTAATGTGCTGGACAGCTTCTACTGTGACCTTCCTCGGTTCATCAAACTTGCTTGCACAGACACCTACCAATTAGAGTTCATGGTCACAGCAATCAGTGGTTTCATCTCAGTTGGCTCCTTCATCATACTGCTCATTTCTTATGTTGTCATCATTCTTACTGTCCAAAAGCACTCTTTGGGTAGTTCTTCCAAGGCTCTGTCCACACTTTCAGCTCACATCATGGTAGTAGTCTTTTTCTTTGGTCCAGTGATATTTTTCTATGCATGGCCATTTCCTTCCCTACATCTAGATAAGTTTCTGGCCATCTTTGATGTTGCTCTCACGCCTTTTCTGAATCCTATGATTTACACATTCAGGAATCAAGAAATGAAGGTGGCAATGAAGAGAGTACGTAGTCAGTTAGTGAATTTTAGGAAGATCTCCAAGTGACATCTACTTTATGAATAACCCTTGTTAATTGTTATTATTATTTTTTGATGTTCAAACTCATTTACTTTTCTTTGCCCTACCTTGATTTAGTTTATATACAGTGACACTGAGACTATTTTGTCTATTACTTAGGAGAAAGCGACAACACTTTTGACAAGAGGGAGGTAATTAAATATGGATTAGTTATAGTCTCTGATTATACAAATCTATAGTCTTAATTCCTATGGAATAATACTTCTATGTAATAATTATTAGAAGTACAAATATGGCATCTGTTTCACAGACAATTAAGTCTATCAACACTCAGTGGGCAGCTGGCTAAGAGAGACTGAACTAAGAGAGCTAAGAGAGCTGGCTAAAAGAGACTGTATGCTGCAGATTGCTCATTTGGGTCTTTACCATGGTTGTGCGAGGACAGCAGAATTTTTTACTCCATATAGTGATTGACGTCTTTAGGTAGAATCCATGTGACCTGTTCTTAGACAAAGAACTGTGAAAACACCAGGACTTTTTTCCAGGTATAAGCATGACACTCAAATCCATTAAATTTTCATTTTTCCTCTCTTATTCTTTTTCCACCCTGCATTAAGTTTATTGAGGTAAAGTAGGTTTACATCACTGTATCCACTTTGTGGGATCTTGGTTTAAATCTCTACATAAGCTTATTTTCATACCCTACCTACCAACAGTGCCCAAGAACCCTCTATTACATTCCTTTGGGCCCTCCCCTTCCCGCTGTCATCACACCACCTTGGCCCTCTTGCTGCATCAGTTTTGCAGTAGATGTCGACTTTATTATTGGTTTGGTTTTTAATGATTCTCCATATTCCTATAAAATTGAGACTATTTTGTATTTCTCTTCTACTTCTGACTTAATTTAATTAGCGTTATCTTCTCCAGTTCCATCCATGTTGTGAATGGCAATGGCTTATACTTTTTTATAGCTGAGTTGTATTATGTGTATGTATATATATATATATATATGATATATTCCTAATCCACTCATCTGTCCTTGGACACTTAGGCTGTTTCTATAACTTAACTATTGTAAATAGGGCTAAAAGGAAAGTATATCATGTTGACTGAATGCTTTGTATTCTTTGGATAGATACCTAAGAAGAGAATTGCTGAGTCATATATGATAGATCTGTATTAATATTTTGAGACACGTCCATGCTGTTTTCCATAGGGTCTAGATAGTCTGTATTCCTATCAACAGACGACTAGGGTCTCCTTTTCGTTATATTGCTAACTTTGAGTTTGGTCTTTTTGATCTAGGCTATTCTGATAGGGGTGAAATAGTATCAATTGTGGTTTTGATTTGCCTTTCCCTAATAATAAAATGATGAACTTTAATCTTCATGTGTCTATTGCTCATCTGAATGTCTCCTTGGAGAACTATGTAGCTCTTCTGCCCATTTTTGTTAAGTTGCATGAATTCTTTTGATATATTGTATATTGCCTCTTTGTAATTTGTGTTATTATTTCTTTGGCAGGATGTCTTTTGTTTTACTGATAATTTCTTTTGCTGTGCAGAAGCGTTTCATTTGATGTTCTAATACTTGGTATCAATCCAGGAAAATTAGATTCTGCAACTAGGTAATCCTTTTTATGGACAATACTGGCCAGCCATCACAGGGGTTTCCTTTTAATTTCTGTGCCATTTTCCTGTATGTTCTTTTTTAAAAAATACAGAATTTTAATTTTCATTATACAATTATACAGAGTGGTACTTTAAGAATTCTTTGGCAACAGGAAGTTGTGATATATTTACATATGTATGCATCAGGAAATCTAGAATGTCTAGACTGCTATATTGTGAATATTCAGTCTTCCTTCCATATATAATTAGCCAAGATCTTCCTTTACTTATTTCTGCTGTAAGACTGTTGCTGCTGCATATAAATGATTTATTACAATCCATATTTTTGTCTGAGATGTGTTTTATTTCTCTGTGTATGCTAATGCAAGTAGGGATTCATATCAAAAGACACTGAAATTTCAATTCATAGCCATTTTAATGACAAACAAGAGAGGCTCATTCTAAGTTAGAGTTATGGTACAAATGACTTAACAGACCAGAGCTTAACAGAATTCCTTTGTCTCATAACTGGTCCTCATTTATTCATAAATAAGCATATCCTTTATTTGATATGATTTTTCTTTTGCTTTCCATCACTTTTTTTTTTTGTTTTAGTTCTTTCCTGGATAATTAAAAATCAGTTCATATAGTATCAGTGTACTAGCTAGAATTTTATATTCAACCACCCCAGAATTTGTCTGTTAGTGGTATTTTTAAATATAAAATTTCACTGTGGTTTTTCCTGAATGATTAATTGTTCCATCGATCTAGCAGGAATTGCTACTTGCCCATCCCATAATTGTTATGATTCAGAAAAATGCCTACTCTTCCCACTCATTTCTTGCTTTGTCTTCTGTCACATTTACTTTTTTTTTTTAAAGATTTATTTATTTGTGCATACAGAACTGGGGTACAGGTCAGAGGCTCAGGGGCGGCGAGAGGCTTCACCAGAGACAGAATGGGGAGCAGAACAGGCAGATTGACGAAGTACACTGCTGAGGGGAGCAGCGGGCGGGCCAGGAGAGGTCTGCCACGCCATGTGGTCACCTGTGGGGCAGGTGGGAATCGAACTCATGTGGAAGTGGCTTTAGATTCTCAGTGCAGTGCTTTAACCCACTGCGCCACCAGCGAGGGCCCACATTTACTTTTATGACAAAAAATGTTTCTCATCTTCACAGTGAGTGATTGTCTCTATCAACAACAATACAACTTTTATGCTTTTATTTAGAAAGCTCCTTTTTTTTTTTTTCCCCCTCTGAAGAGATAACTGCTGTAGCTAGGGCTTCTAATCTTTTTTCTATCAAAACAAGAGCTCTTTCTTCTGGCACATATCTTTCTCTTGCAGTAACTATGAAGTGTTATAGAAAATGACTTGTAGATACCACCTATATTCCATCCTTTGGCCAAAAGTTGAATCAAGTCCTAGCAACTGATAAATGGTGTATGTATGAGACTCTGACCAACATGGACCATATCTATGCTTTTCTCAGGATGATGCACTTGGTAATAGAGGGCAACTAATGTTCAAACTCAGAACTGACATACACAAACTGTTGACAGTCATATTTCCTGCTCTCAGAAATCAAATTTGGGATTATAAAAAAGATATGTGAAAAAAAGATAGAGGATTTAATGGCAGGATATTAGTTAACATTCATGTTCTGGGTTCCTGTTTATGGTATTCAGCTTTATCCTTCCCCCTACTGTTTGATGACTTGATGAGTTAATAGATGAGCCAATACATTCATTCACTTGCCTAAGTTTAGCTTGTAAATCTTTCATTTATTGTCAAAAGGATACTGATAAGTACATCTTGTATTCTAAGAAGATTGCTGTTTCAATTACTGCGGGTTTTAAATCTTCCATTGACATATTTCTTTATGAAACATGTTTTCTTTTACTGGAAAGGAGATGTAAAATTTATTTGTAAATTAGAAATGAATATACAGAGATGAGCTTTGTAATAACCATGTGGAGAAAATTATTTGTAATATATTGGTGTATTTATTTCCAGTGTTTTACTATGCACATATATATAAGTTAGGATTTAAATATCTCTATATTTTTATCCTGACTTTCAAAGCATATTATGTACTGAGAATTCCACCCATTTTAAATATTTCACTATAAAAATTTTAAAGATATATATTGCATTGTTACTATAGCATATTTTTTATCTCTCTAACATTAGTTGAGAATCTTGTATTCAATTTTTTTGCTTTGAATTAGAGATTGTTCCACATGTCTCTGTATTTTAGATTACCTCCTTGTAGATATTTGGAATTAATAGCAGATAATGCTACTTAAAATTCTTTATTTATAATAATTACTTTTCTCAATAGTTTATAGTTATTCAGAACTATATTCACTATAGTGTCCTTTCAATGCAAATATGGTCATTCAATTTAAAGACAAAATAATAAAATTTTATTTTGAATTTCAATTTTTGTGAAGTTGTAACTTTGAAAATCATTATTATTTCATCATTATTTTGAATGCTTTGAATTCCATGTCTGACACATTGTAAATCAAGCTTAATATGATTAAAACAAATATTTTCATCTTTGCAGCTGAAAAAAGATCAAGAAATATGGTGCACAGCAATGTGAATTTCCTTAGCATTAGTTCATCCATTAAACACTGAGATATGGTGAAAACGGTAAATTTTTATGTTATATTTTATGTTGCCACAATACTACTATCTGGGGCTATTGCTTCTGATGATGCTGGGGGTCTGAGATGTGGTTGGGGCCAGCAGCCTGGCTGGGATCAAAGCTGTGCTCAGACTTCCACTTGTCTTCTTTGGGAGCAGCGGGGTTCCTTTTGTCCAGAAGGCAAGATAAAGAACACACTTGTGAAAGCAGGAGACAGAGATGCTTCTCTGGCAGCGGGCACGCACACTCACAGCAAGGGCCTGATGGCCAGCCTGCCACAGCATGACTCCTGCGTTTGGCTGATGTCTTGGTTCTGATTGTTGAGGATTCATTTGGGGGTACAGAGCTGGGGTAGAGGGCAGTGGCAGTAGAGTGCGGTGACAGGACTCAGCAGAGTCAGGGGAGAGAGTGGGGTGCAGAACATGCAGGCCCACTTCCACTGAGATCCTCCACTGAAGGGAACAGCAAGGAGACAGGAGAGGTGGCTGCACCGTGGGGGAAAGCTCCCCAGGCCTGTGATCAAACTCAGAGAGGCCCAACTGACTGGACTTTGTTTCCTCACTCTGAGACAGAAAGCCCTGCAGGCACAGGCAGGCCCATGCTGACTGGGGGGCTCTTGGAGAGGCACTCCTTGTCTCTGCCTGAAGAGCTTTTCAAGCTCACAGTGCAACTCGTGTGGCTGCCATTAGCAAGTATATGGCTGGCTGCATCCCAGAGCCTTCCCCAGTCACTGGGAGGTGTGGCCAACCTTTAGCTGCCCTCCC